TGCTAAAGTCAAGTTGCAATAACCATGTTCCCCATGGGTTTTGGCTGTCACTGTAGTCACCTTCTTTCCTTCAAAATATGCTTTTCATTGTTCTACTGCCTTTTTTCCAATCACTCTGCAGCCAAGTTCTTGGAAAGCAATCACGCTTCTTGGTGAGGATTTATTGCGAGTCTTCTGCCAACAAGGACAGACACACACACACAAATCTCTCCTGTGATCATCCCGCAAAAGCAAGCTAAAAATACAGCAACTTATGAACGGGCACTTCTCACATGCTATATGGCAGCAGCGTGCGCTCATCAAAAAGCACTGAGACAGATAAAAGAAGGGCACTCCTTTTGGCTGGGCCGATCAAAGGCTCTGCTTAGGTGCCATAAATGAGCTTATTTGAGAATTCCAGTCTACCTAAAAAGGGGAGGAAAATGCATTTGTGCTGTGGTTTAGTGGTTGAAGGATGATTTTTCTTCCTTTTTACCGGGTTTAAATGGTAACTTTGTACTTTAGAAACCCCGGGTCTGAGAAAAACAATAGTTTCTCTTCCAAACTGGCTGTTCTAAAGCTAATAACTGTGATGACTAACTTATTTATCACTACAGGTTTAAAGCGGTGGGAATTGTCAGTCTGTTTGTACAAAGGACTTTGCAGTTTCAGAGTGAATTTGTCTTTGGGTTTTGAAATGTGTTTGAGGTTGTCTAAGAAAGCTCCTGCACATAGAAGCCACAGGTAACACAAGGGAAGACTGATCTTACAGCTGGAAAGGAAGGGATCATGCAGAAGAGTATCCAGGTAATCACTATTGCTTATCTGACCACATTGTCTGGTTTTCATACAAACATCATGGCTTAATCATCAGCCTCTTTGAAAGACTTCTTTTATCTTACTGCTTTTGACAGGCAGGGGCAGATTCACGAGTCTGTGGATGTGTTTTAAAGCTTCCTTGGTTTAGGGCTGTTAAAGTTCCTTTGAAACAGTGGGAGACTCAGCCCTCAGTCTCTCCTGATCCCCTCGATTCTCATGATGTCCTCTGTCCAACAGCCATAAAACAAACTGGGACTCATTCAGCAACCTGGATTCACCGCCAACAGAATGGTGTATCTCCATCACTAATGGCTACCCGATTCTGTGGTTCAGACGTGATGGCTGAGGCTCAGAAACAAGGCAGCTAATGAAAAGATCCAGATAAATGTTTCACCACCTTATAATTTGAGGTTCTTACTAAACCCAAAATGACGGATACTGTTATTATTTTGCTTTTCTTATGATTATCTTTCTTGTCTTCCCTTCTCTGCTTTCCCCAGGCAACGCAAGATAGTCCCAAATACCTATTTGGTTCCTATAATTACACCAGATGTATTTTCTATTCACTCCTAAAAGGGACTAGCGAGTTGTGAAATGGGATTTCGCATCCAAGAAATGAGAAACGATAACTGAGGACACAGCACAAACTTATTCCTCATAAATCATGAATGAACTTTCAAATGCAATAAAACTCCAATTTCTACATGTTCAGACTGGCAGACCCCTGAGTATAACAAGTAACTTACGTGTAATTTTGTGTTAAAAACGTTACATTCTGCAAAAAGTTGAAGACTGCCTGAAATTTATTCCCTGCTCAACACTATTCAGTGAAATACATTTTTGTATGTGAACGGCATTTGGTTGCTCTAATAAGATTACTCATGTATCACATGGCATCAGTTAATTCTGGGTGTGCTTCTCGTTGCAATCATCAGGATGCAAGTGCAAGTATTTGTATAAAACAGTTATAAAACTTGCTTCTTGGTGCTTCAGCTGAAAAAGCTCACTTTGCATCAGGGGTTGCTTCAGTACAATTCGCTCACAAATGAACTCACACAAAGGACCATAGGAAAAATGCTACCGAGGCCAAAGCAAATGGTTGCAAAATTTAAACCAATATTTGCTAGAAAATGTTTGTGGTGGTCACTCAACCCTAATTCTGAGCCCCTGACAGAAGACCTGGACTGAGCATTGCAGGCCTACCTGCACCTGCCTTTGAAACCAACCTGAAACTTCTCTTTTGCTGCTGACATAGGGTTTGTGTTCTCCTTGCCATTGGGACAAGGAAAAAAACCCGCTTTTACTATTGCGTGCAGAGTGCATATCATCATTTTCCTTCTTCTGACATTAAGTATCCCAGACTGGTTTGTGTTGGAAGGGACCTTAAAGCTCATCCAGTTCCAACTCCTGCCACAGGCAGGGACACCTTCCAGTAGAGCAGCTTGCTCCAAGCCCCTGTGTCCAACCTGGCCTTGGACACTGCCAGGGATGAGGCATCCACAGCTTCTCTGGGCACCCTCTGTCCAAATTCCCTCTCCAGGTTTCTTGTAGCCCCTTTAGGCACTGGAAGCTGCTCTAAGGTCTCCCTGGAGCCTTGTTCAGGCACATGTACAAGTACCAGTAATAAAGCTCTTACTTTTGCCTTCACAAGTGGAAACACACACGCATGTACTTGGCTTTGGCTACACAATCACCCAGCTAAACGTATTGATGGAGTCAGCAGGACCGGGAACAAACTTATTTTTAGATATCATAAGCCTCAATATATTAATTTGCTTTCAGTCTTGGTCTTCCATATGCTGTCTGTCTTCTCCAATCGCAATGAAATGACATCCACCTACATTACTCTCCACAAATCTTAAGAACACTTTACTCACAACAGCTTGCAATAGCTAAAAAACATGGAAACACAAGCGATACAGGCAGAATAATCATGGCTCCCATGTCAGGTCCATAGCCTGGCCTTTATCCTTCATTACAAAAGATTCAGCACCCCATCCAAAAGAGTTTTAGAAATAAATAAGCACCAAGCCTCAAAAATACAAGTTGCTGGAGCTTCATATATGATTAAAAGTTGGAATATAGTTTGGAGTAAACCTGATAAAGTTCTGCCATTTGGGTTACAGCTAACAGCTTCTTCAATAAGACTTTAACACAATAAACCACCATTACTGTTACCATCTTGCTGGGGAGGGTAGAAAAGACCATAAAACTGAGTGGCACATTCAGAATTCCTTGCAAAATATTGGCTCTTGGAACACACCACACAATGACTGTAATTAATACCAGTCCTTTAAAGTAGTCCTAAAGCCTACTGAAATCCAAGTGAGTACTGCATTGCTGGGAGCAACAACTCCATCCTAAGTTGTGTTTTCTGCTATCATTTTAAATACAAGTTCTCCATCAGAATGGGGTTATAATTCATCAATCTGCCAAACGGAATCACACACCTTTGCCCTCATTATTTATAGAGCTTTTCTGAGGAGGATCTCAGGACTTTACTCTTTCAAGCCTCACAAGTTCAACAGCCCAGGAGTTATATAAACAGTATTTTACAATTGGAACTATTTTCCCAGCAAAAGGATCACGCCAGGGGAGGGCTATTGGAATGATCCCTTTTACTAAACTAACATTGCTTTACTTGTAATTCCACAGCTTCAGAGGGACCCAGGCTGAAGTCCACTGAGCGATCCCCAGCCTCACTGGCAGGCAGTGCCCAGCACTTCAGGGGGCAGGGGAACAAGGGCTGCAGGTTATACCACGCTTGAAAGCATAGCAACTCTTTTCAGGGAAGAGAAGCCTAAATAAAGATTGAGGAAACAGCTTATTTTAAGCAGTGAACAAGGCAATAGACGCATAGATTTAAACAGGTTGCAGCCAACAGATCACAGAATCACTGACTGGTTTGTGTTGGAAGGGACCTTAAGGCTCACCCAGTTCCAACCCCTGTCACAGGCAGGGACACCTTCCACTAGAGCAGCTTGCTCCAAGCCCCTGTGTCCAACCTGGCCTTGAACACTGCCAGGGATGGGGCAGCCACAGCTTCTCTGGGCACCCTGTGCCAGCGCCTCAGCACCCTCACAGGGAAGAGCTTCTGCCTAAGAGCTCATCTCAGTCTCCCCCCTGGCAGGTTAAAGCCATTCCCCTTTGCCTGTCCCTACAGCCCCTCTCCAGCTTTCCTGCAGCCCCTTCAGTCACTGGAGCTGCTCTAAGGTCCCCCCTTAAGGAGCCTTCTCTTTCCCAGGCTGAACCAGCCCAGCTCTCAGCCTGTCGGACCGTCCGTCTCGGATCGCACCTCGGCAGCGATGCCGCAGCCGTAGGACGTGTTGCTGGTGCGCGGCGCTGCTCCTCCCGCCGGGGGATGTTCCCGGGAGCTCCACGGGTAGAGCCCAGAGCCTCGGACCCCCTCCGCCGGCAGCGCCCGGAGCATCGCCTCCCTCCGCACTGCGCGGAGAAGAAAGCACACTGTCCGGCGAGCCCTGTGTGCTGGCGGTTACCGCAGCTCGGATTTGGGGGTTCGGGGGGGCGGGAAGGGCGATGGACAAGAGATCCCCACTGTATTCTGAACACAGCGGCACCGGCATCGCCCGAAGCATCCCGCCGCCGGTCCGGGTCGGGATGCAGCCCCCATGCAGCGAGCCCCGGGGCTCTCCGGGGCACGGAACGAGCCCCATCCCCTCCGACCGCGAACAAACATCCCCCCCCGTCCACAACAGGCATGTTTGCAGCAACATGATATCACCTAATAACGCCGAATAAGGCAATGACTGTAGGTTGGAGCGATGCGATCCTGCCGGTCTCACCCCACGGCGCGGAAAGCTATTTGCAGATTTGCTAAGCCCTTTTGAATGAATGCATCTGCAGCTGACCTTTAACAATAGGCGCTGAAATAGCACAATCTGTGGGACCAGATTTGGGGGGGGGGGAAGGAAGAGATGGGTGAATATTATAATCACTGCAATCTCATTCACTTCCTTTCCCAAACCCCCGCACACTGTTGGAGAAAGCGGTATTTTCCTTTCCACCGGGGTTCCAGCACGAAAGAACCGGTTCAAACGCCGGCTCAGCCACATGGCACCCCGAAAGCCAGCAGCCCCACCGCTACCGCCCCCCCCTCCCCTCTTCCCACGGGCATCGCTCCGCGGAGGGGTGACTACGACAGGGATGCTCCGGTCCCCACTCCCCCCCGGCCGCTCTCTCACCTTCCCTGGCTTTCAACAAGACGGTGTTGGCAACGATGTTTTCCAGCTCCATTGACGAGCTCGGGCAGCGTAGGCAGGCGGCGGCACTGCAGCAGGACGTCACTCCCGAGGTGCGGAGTCTCCGGGCGACCACCCGCCGCCAGCCCTTAGCCCGCTATGCCCCGGTGCATGGCCCCTGCCGCTCCGCTCCCCGCGCTGTGTGCTCCCGCAGCACCCGGTCCCGCTACTCCATCCCCCGCCCCGCCGGCTCCCCGCCGGTTTGAGGGCTCGGGCGCTCCTGCTGCCCTCCCCCGGGGGTGTGGCACCGCGGAGCGGCCCCGCAGCCCCGCGCAGGCGCCAGCCTCTCCGCCGGCTCCGCGGGGCCGGGCACGCCGGGACCTGTAGTCCTTGGGGCGGACCCTCCGCACCTGGAGCAGGCACCGCGGCCGCGCAACGGCACCGCGGAGGGGCGGCGAGCGCCCGCCCTAGGGGAGGGCGAGGGGATGGGCGCGGGTGGACGGACGGACGGAAGGAGCTGGGGCGGGGGTGGGGGGGCGGTTCGGTTCCGTTCGGTCCGGTTCAGTTCCGCTCCGTTCGGTGCGGTGGGGAAGAACGGAGAGAGCCCGCGGGGCGATGCGCGCAGGGATGCGCGGTACCTGGCTGCGCCGCGCAGTCCTGGTACCGGGCGCCACCCCGCGGCAGCCGCCCTGGCACCCCCGGGGCTCCCCTCGCTTCCCCTCCGCGCTCAACACCGCCTCTGCGGGGCTCGTACACGAGAGAAGGAGCCCGCGACCTCTTCTTCATCATGAACATGCTTCATCCCATGCCCTTTTCCTGAAGGTCTTAAAAGTGCCTGTAGGATGCCCGAGGATACCCGAGGGATTCCCATCATTTCTGCCACACTGTATTCTTTAATCCCGGTGAGCAGTTGCGTGAGACATCAGCCACTTGTGGAAAGTTTGTGAATTTTAAGCACTAAATTACAACATAAATTCTTCTCCATCTATATAAGACAGATGCTGGTGTCAGCATGATCCTGACTTTCCTGGCAACAGGGTAGATCGATTCAGCAGGTCAAGCAGAGGAAGAGGAATAAAACCAACCCATTACTCTCACTAACACTCTTCCCCCATCTGTACGTGCATTGATTAAAACCACATGAAGCAAACCAAATTAAAACATGCACCTTCTTGTAAGTGGGGCACAGACACTGCTTTTCCTTTTTTTTCTTCTTCTTTTTATTGTACTGATCATATTTCTTCCTGCAGCCAGGCAGAAACGAACAGCAGAACTCACAGGCTGCCCAGAACACATTTTCTGAGCTCAGGAAATAAAAGAGAGATGCATTTAGTGAATAATACTTTGGGCATTAGGACACAATGGCTGTAACAAATGCCTTTTGTACCCATTCAGTGTCAGAGGATAGAACTTAGCATGTTACTGTGCAGAGTAGGTGGCATGGCTATGTACAGTCTTCTATATCCTCCCTCCTATCGCTCCAGAGGACTTTCAGAGCAGTGCCATGTTGTGGTTGCTTTCTTTGTAAGCACCAAGCCCAACAGCAGCAGTTGTGCCTGTAAGTACAGGAAGATGTTTCTCTGATTAATTCTTCAGGGAAAAATTGCTTCCTGGAAACCAGAGCCTTTGCATAGAGATGAGGTGCCCAAGGAGTGTCTGCCCTGCTTGCTGTCTGACCACTTCCGTGCCAGGACTGATGCTTGCTTGTAAACAGAGCAAATTCTGCTCAGGCTGGAAGGGAGGAGTAGGACTTGAGGGTGTTGGGTAATGAGAAGCTCCCCATGACCCAGCTTCAGGGAGCCCAGAACCCCCCCATGTGCTGGGCTGCATCGCCAGAGCATGAGCAGCAATCAAGGGAGGGGATTCTCCCCTCTGGGGAGATTCAGAGCACTTGGAAATCAGCATGTGCACCCAGCAACTGCACTGCGCCTCTTTTATCTCATATCAATATGTGTCTCTACGTACACAACCACCCACTGTGTTGTCCTGTACACTTTCTGAACATTTATTTAACTCCTGAAAGGGTAAATAGATTTACCAAAAGAGTTACAACAGAGCCATGTGGCGTTTCTAAGTCCCTTGGTTCTACCTAATGTTCATGAACAGCGCAGCTCTGAAGCGCTTCACAGTCCTGGCAACCAAAGACCCAGTTGCACAGGGGCAGCAACTGAACAGTGTTGTGTTGCTGCCAGAGCAGTTATTTCAACTAAGCTGGATGACTTTGCATCACAGCGGAGTAGGATCAGTTGCATAACTTAAATGTGGCTGCACGCAGTGGGTGGAAAGCTCAGCTCTGCCACTGGACTGCTGAGATTCTGCAATAAGGCGTTTGTTTTAGTTACACATCTACATGGAGAGCATCAATTCTGACCTCACATTTATTGGTGAGAACAACGGAGTGGGTTTTCTTAATGATTCTTTAACAAAATAAAACTTCTTTCCAATAAATCTGAGTCAATGTGGTTCATTAGCACAACACCCTGCTCTGAAAACCAGAATCAGGCAATCAGTCCTCAACACATCTCTCTCTTCTACTATAGTTTTTTAAGCCTAAATATAGACCAGGGTCTGCTTCATGCAGATGGATGACCCCTTTCATGGCCCCACAGGTAGCCAGAGCAAGTGCCACTGCACAGACCTACTTGCCTTGAAGTCTATCAACTGCTCTCTATGAAACCCATGGCAGCATTTGGAATGTTACCTCATGTCAGTATCTTCATCTCTGTGCCAAATGGAACACCTGGCTCACAAAAACAACAAAAGTAGAAAATATGAGGAAGAATTACTTTATTTGTATCCATTTTTCTCTTGTGACAACGCAGCCTTTGTGCTTTAAAGTATGTCCACACTTGATTTAATGGAGTACTCAGGTTCTCTGTGAGTGAGGGAGAAAGAAACAAGAGACCTATGAGTCTGTTCCACTGCTTATCTTATTCTACTCTTACCTTATTCTGCTGTTGTAAAGGCTGGTGCTGGAATACTCAAGCATGGACAGGGTGGCAGGGAATGAATACATGTCGGTTTTGCTGGATCCTGATTCAATGTTTGCTGGGAGAAAAGGGAAAATTAAGTCTGAATCTTTCATTTTGGAAGGAGAGAAAAAAAGAAGAGGCTACCAAACCCCAGTTAAACTCTGTTAAATAGGTGCTTTCTAAGGTGCTTAATGTGTTTTGTTGCTCTGGTTTTAAATAGCACATCTTCATCTGAAGTCATTGGGGAAGGCCTAGGAAAAAAAGCCCTTTTTGGGTGCTGAAGATGAGGACAGAGCAGGGCTGGCAGCCATCTTTCCTTCATGGGAGAAGAGAGGTTTGTAGATGAGACAGCAGCACGGTGTGAGACCCAAACGCATCGGTGTAATGAGAAGAGGAGGCAGCACGGCAGTGTGACGGTGTGAGCGGCTGGAGGATGAGTCATGGCAGGGTGGGCTCTGCAGCTCAGCCAGAAGCACGGCAGCAGCACAGCAGCGTTATCCTGCACCAGGGAGGAACTGCCTGGGCAGCCTGCTGGGAACGGCAGGATAACACAGACCCCCAGCGAGCCACAGGTCAAAAAGGCTTTTGCCTACACTTATCGATGGCAAACATACCCTAAACACCAGCTATCTCCTAAATAGTACACCATTAATGCAGTGAAGCCTGTTCATGATTAGCTCTAAGATGGGTTGTGTTTGGAATTGCTTCTGAAACTTAATTCTACAAACAGGGAAATTCTTTTGGCTCCTTCTGAGATGCGGCATCAGCAGGTGGGAGTGCGCAGGTCGACGAGAAAGCGTTTGCAGACACTGTAACCTTTAACAGAGCGCCTCTGTGTAAGGACAGAGGCTGCCATCTACCAACAGCCATGGGGAGATGCATCACGTTGTCTCAAGTAGAATCATAGAATGGTTTTGGGTTGGAACAGACCGTAAGGACGCCTACTTCCAACCCCTGCCATGGGCAGGGACAGGTTGATTTGCTTTGGTTTAGGTAAAAAAGTTAATGTCCTTTGCTTCTTCCCATTTCCAAACCTTTTTTCAGTTATCCATTTCCTCAAGGCAGAGGACAAAGGATTGTTACAGCACTTGAGCACATGGAATAAAATAACCTTCTAGAAGAGAAGGAGATTCGAGTTTTCAAACAAACAGGTGTACACAGCCCATACTCTGCACCGAATCTGCCATTCAATGACCCACTGGAGCAGATCTGATTTGGGATTTGCTCACCCCCTCCATCAAGTTTAGAGAGAAGAGGCTACTCTTTCATTAACATTTGGTGGGGTTAATGATGTGATCGAAAGAGCTCTTTAAAATCAACTCTCATGTAACAACACATGAGGATTATGTTGCACTTTTTATCATCAGATCTCAAAGTTTTTCACCAGAAAGACATACATAATTATTCCCAGATAGGGAAAAGAGGCACAAAGGGAGAGCAGGCAGATAAGTATCCTAACCAAACATAAATTTTACATCTCCTGCTATCCATTCAAGTGCCTCATCTGCTGCTTTGCACCGTGTAACAATACAAACTTCTCCCTGAAGCCTGCTGAAATCCCTGGAGAGCCTTTCACCAACTTCAGATGTCTCACTTTGAATCAGGCTTAAATACTCTAATCCCTCACATGCAAACACGTCCATGCAGTCCTGAGCTCATGCTGCACCAGTATGAACCAATGCTCCCTCACTGCAAGATGAGATATGAAACTGGGGCCTGTCCAGCCAGGCAAAAGCCTGTGGGAATAGAGCAAAGCAGACAACCAACAAGATCTGGAACAGGATGCACATATGGTATTGCTCGATAGATCTATTTTGAACTTCAGATGGCAAGAACAGGGTTTAGCAGCTGCTCGAGCCTGTGCCAGAGCTGTTTCAAAGGAACAACTCTTTTGCCAGGTGAGCTTTGGCAGTGACAAAGTCCATCTTCAAATTGTAGGGATGCCCAGTATATAGGAAAACGGGAAATCACCCCCGTTAAATGGCAGTATTTCATACTCTTGCCCAGAAGCCTGAGAAGTTGAATTACGCTGCCTTCATAACAAAGCATGAGCAATAGTTCCCCACCTGCAAGCCAAGTGTTTAAACAAAAGAGTTTTAAAGAAATACAACTTTCCGGGGAGGGGGGAAGGACATTGGCTCAGAATACATCAGCTTACAAGTTGTGAATAACCATTTGTGGGTGAGACAACCATCCTCAGGAAATCCGAGCAGTAGCCCTTTTCTTGCTGCCACAATACAGCTCCCACAGCTGAGGGAAAGGAACCCTCACACACTGTTTGCTGCCCAGGGAGCACGTCTCTCCATGGGGAGATGTGCCAGTCAGGCAGATGTGACCACAGTCATAGAATCA